TAGAACTATGATGCGTTGCTCAGAGATGAGTAGCGCTTCACTCTCCAACCCTGATGAACCGCTATCACTACCGATGAGTCCCTGAAACATCAAGCGCCACCCAGATACAACCTTGAAAGGTAAGCGCCACCCTTAGACAGGCCTCTTAGGCCAAGCGCCACTCAGAGGATGTAGAAGAAGACCAACGCCACAATATCTAATGATGACGAAGTGTCGGAAGACTTTCCGGTTGGAAGTCTGCAGTATCGCCACTAAATCCTGCCAAGATGACCTCCGAGGAGGAAGCTGCAACTATGGCTGCATCGCCCCAAACCTGTGACCCCACTCCGGAGGAGGGTCCGACAAGGCACCAACTTCTCTCGCCTCCAACAAACCTCTATAGCCCAGACCTCTGACAGCCCCGTGTGCTGGCAGAGTACAGTGCAGACCCCAACTATGGCCGACGCTCCGAAGGTCTGGCTATGTCTGTCTCCTTCCACGCTGAGCCGTCACCACTTCCGGCTCACGCGTAGCGCAGCAGCGATGTACTCTGTACCAACTGCCAAAAGCCCTGAACCGATGTGCCCAACCTATCTATAGTCTACTCTAGCCTAGACTCGACCTAGACCGGACTTACTGACCGACCGAAACTGTTTCTACTTCGGCCTCTAGGGCCTCTCCAACCTGGCTATAGGCTATAACACCGTCTATCAGCTTAGGCCCTTAGGGCCTGTCTGTCCAAGAGGTAGCCCGGACCTGCTATTTGCAGTTAGGATAGTTGTAGGGAATTCGGTTAGTACGGGCCTATATTTTTTCGAATTTACAAATATGTCCCTCACGAATTTCCTTATAGGCAGGTCTCTCGTTTAGTCCTCAGCCAGACAAAATTACGAATCTAACCTGAGACGCGACCCGACCGAGGCAAGCCCCGAGCTTCGCCCTCGGCCCAATGTACAGTCCATTGAGAATCTGCAAGCTTCATTACATACTTACCCCCTTGGGGAGAGCGGACCTCCGCGCCCATGCTTCATTTCCTAGTAATGAACCAACATATGAAGAGGGTGTAGAGATAGAACTCTTACCCAAAGAGGAGAACCCGAGAGACTCGCGGGGCAACCTATGCCCTTGATCAATGCTACAAACAGCAAGGTCAAGAGGAGGTAACCTCAAAGTGTCTGCTGGTCTCGACTGCATCAAGAAACCACGGTAGGACCTGGTCCTTGACTGTCGCGCAATCGACCACTTCTAAACAGTCGAGGTTTCGTAGGCAACGCCCTGTTGTTGTAATCTGGTCTCCTATACTCATGACCAACACTATAAACAGTAATGTCAGGAGAAGGAGAACTCGGAGTGTTAACTGGTATCGATTGCGTCAAATGACCACAGTAAGATAGTGCAATTGACCATGCTGAAAAGCTGAGCTACGTAGACGTTGAGCTATAGTCGTCGGTCCGGGTAGTTACCCCTAGTAGACATGGAACCAAGTGCAGTCGATCAGTAGAGTGGTGTAGTGGAGCCGATAGCTCTCAACTACAGTTGTCATTCTAAACTGAAGGGTTGCAATAAGAGACTGCAAGTAAAACAAGCAACCTCAATATGGCGGAGCATAAAGACAAACACGCAGGCTGTCAGTGACAGTTATGCTACGACTCAACTTGTCTAACAGATAGAGTCAGGGGCAGGATGCTGAAAGCCTCGAATGGCTCACACCACTCATCGTTAAGAAGATGGAAACTTTGCCCAATCAGCAGCTACGCTAACCTTGGTCACGACGTTGAGTATGACCATAATTTGCATCAGCAAGTTCTGACAGCGCAGCACAAATACGTTTGTCCAGAGAAGTAGGAAACATCTCCTTAGACAAAGTCCAGTCACAAGAGAAAGGGGCTGCGACCCTTACTTGTGCCATCCCTAGATCTGCTACAAATCAGTGTCCTCATACGTGAAGGACCGTGATGCTGCAACTCCTAAATGAATCAGCTAGAGAGGGTGGAGATTCAACTTCATCAGACGATGAATCGGCACAGGTGGAGGGAGTTGCAGACTCCACCTCTCCTCTCTAGTCCGAGCCTGAAAGCCTGCGAGGCATGCTTGGACAAGAAGTGGTCCCCCGCGCATCTCAGGCAGACACCCTTGTCCTTTCTCTTCCTCAAGACCCCCTCCTGGATCCTGAGTGCATGCCAGGGGAAGGTGGAAGGATCAAGGGGGTCAGGTGGCCAACGGACGTCGCGTGGTAGAGGTACTGCCTGGGCTCCGGGGGAAGAGGCACGTCCCTTACCTTTCCCCTTGCTGCTGGTTGGTGATTTTGGGTTGAGGCCTTGCCATTAGTCAGGCCCATCAAAGCATCAGCCAAGGCAACAACAGCAGAATCTGCAGCAGATGAGGAAGCAGTCACAGATGGAGGGGTCCCATCCTGGGATGCTGCATCATCATCTGAACTGGAAGCTGCAGCAGCAAACAGGGAACCCTTCCTCCTCCTTCGCCCCTTTGAGGAGGGTCCCTTTCTTCCTTCAGAAGGTGCTTTCTGGACATGGAGTTTGGACTCCTGGTCCAGGGTTGCTCTGCCAAAGGACCGCCGGTCCTTGTGGCCCTGAGAGAATAGTGCAAGCTGGAATTGCTCAGGCGCTGCCCTAAGGAAATGAATGAGCAGATCCTGCTCACTCATCTCCAACCCAGGAGTCGATGTCAGACTCTCAAAGGTTGAGTACAGTTTGGACAAGGAGCCATCAAACTTTTTCTTGCCCAGGCGCATAATTTTGTCTGCTGCTTTTCTGGTCTGCTCCTTGTCTGCAAACAGGTCCTGCAGTGCTTGCAGAAATCCAGCCACCCCCAACCTCTGCGCCCAATCAGATATCTCCATACCTTGCTTGCTGGAGGTAGAGGTGCACCATTTCAATGCAGTCCTTTCCAGACGAGCAAGGATGGCTGACACTTTCACATCCTCGTCACATTTGAACCCACTAAGGTAGGTTCTTTGTGTAGTGACCAAATCTGCAACATCCACCTGAGGGTCCTCGCCAGAGAACATGGGTGGAGGGGTCAACCTGGGCCGCTGCTGATCGAATGAAATTGAGGGCTGTGAAGCGGCTGTTGACTTGGGTGTAGAAGATGGGGATGTGGGTCTGGATTGTGGGAGTTGCTGAGGGCCTGCTTGAGAAGCCCCMGGGGATGGAGGCAAGGTCAGGGTGGTAGGGATCTTCAAATGAGTAAAGATCTGATCCCGTTTGGCAGAGATGTCATCCAACTTTTTAGAAAAAGTTGAGTGGCTGCTCTCCAGACTGGGAATCCAGTCGTCCCAGTTAGTAAAATAGGAACGGTGAATAGCATCCTACAAGAGGATGAATTCAGCCATGTGCTTGTTCTACTGACTGGAACTACCACTTGTCCTGATCTTCTCCACTTCTACAATCAGCAGCTTTCTGTTGGCCTCCTTCCGAGCTTCTACTTCTTTCTTCTTCAACTTAGCCTTCAGGGACTCAACTGCCAGGGCCTGTTGGTGGAGTTTCTCCTCCTTGGCCCGCAGTTCAGCCTCTAAAGGGTCAAGCGGAATCTGAGGCTTCACATCAGAAGTCTCTCCCTTCTCAGCCTCTGGCATCTCCACAATTCAGATAAATAAAAATAAAAGCAATTAACAGAAGACAAACATGAGGTAATAGGAATTGAGTTTTCTCTCCAGTACTCGCTCAATTGCTATCACCTGCCTGAAGAGAGGAAGTTAGTTAGTCTGAGCAAGCGAGTGCTCAGTCTCAGCAGACCGCTTGAGGGTCAGGGTCAGTTTAGAGTACACTCAGCAAAAATCCATTTCACTATTTTCCCATCACTGTTCTAAAAATAGACCCAGAATCGCCGCAAAGAGTAGAGTAAGGAACACACTTGTTTCAAGCTCAACTCTGAAGAAGATGAGTGAAACTTGGCCTATGGCTGTCTGGTCAACCCCATCTCGCCAGTTCCACCTCTTGTTGATTCCTAGTGTTCCCACGTATCAAATCTCCTGCAACTTGGTGATTCAGCAGTATACCCTAAGGCGCTTCACCCCCAACTGACAGGTTCATCGAATTTGGACTCCCAGGTGGAGATAACTGACAAATTCAGTGCGACGACACATCACCCTGTACTGCGCTGCTGGAAAATTGGGGATCCTGACCCAATTCCAAATCACAACCTCCTAGGATCACTTCCTTGTTAATCGCAAGTCTCCAGATGAATTGCCAGGCTAAAAATAGCCTCTCAAAGCCTCTCAAGCCTCTGAGTACCAATCGCCAACCACTCTTGCACAACCCTAGTCAGGAGTGAATCACCCTCTGTCCAATTCTTCTTGCCACACACTCACCACCAGCACACTTATTGACAACAACCCTGAAGATAATGAATCGCCATGAAACTCTAGTATCTCGCCAGATGATGATGGTTGCTCCAACTCATCAATCGCTCCAGAGTCTATATCCAATCGCTCTGATACCAACCGTTATGATTCTGGTTATCTGTTGTCTGAAGACCAACACTCACTCACATAGACTCCCAGGTATGCCCATACATACACAGAAGGAAGGGAAGAGGATAGGAGTATCACCACACACAGGGAGAGAGAGATAAACACAGAGGAAGACTTGACCATCCGATATGACAGGGTACACTGAAAGTGCAATTCACTCCACTCAATCCTCACAACCA